ATTAATTAAGTTAATCAAACCTCTTAATTAGCTTTATAGATCTGTACGTCAAGTTGTGTCTGATAGCTATCTCATGCATGGGAATTATTAAGTCTTCCTAATCCCCTATCAAGTACTAATTTAAGCTTAATTAATCTTATATATGCAGCACTAACAGCCATAATTTAGAGTAATAATGCTAAGTACAGTACTTGTCAATTGTTGCATTCATAGTTCCTTCAACTTTTTTTGTTTAGAACCTCATAGTTTGGATAAATTAATGTAGTATTCAGTTCTAAATAAATGCTCCAACACCCTTAAGAATGAGCCAATTTGTTTTAAGAAAATGATGCATGACACAAGCCTTGATTATCCTTCTAATTCACATTATTTTCTGTGATCATGTTTCGATGTTCTGGACGAACCCAAGACTATGTGGTAGCAAATGAAGTGCAAGATAAACTTAATTGTCGTTCGAGTGAAAAACGTGCAACGACTGATAATTCAATTTATTATTAAGTTACATAAGATGAATACTGATTTTCATTACAGAATTTCTAACATTACCTTTCAATTTGTAAGCATATATATAAGTACTGAAAAAGTGGGATTAAAAGCCACTAAGCTGAATTAGTTAGTGAAGTGTGAAGGGAAACAAATTAAATTTTGTGAAATTTGTATAATAAGGAGGTGATGGGATGGCATAGTCCAACAGCAATGAGCACAGATGTTGGTTGGGAGAGACGAACGTCATGACAGCATGGGGGTGATGTCATCATCATCCCCACAAACAAATTAAAGAGGGTGTGTTCTGGGTATTTTTTTTGTGTAGTGGTGGTGCAGGCATCATCAAGACATTGAATATTAGATAGAGAATGAACAAGGATTTTATAGGGCAAAAAGATGTCTTTTGGATGGGGACCAAACAGCCATGCGTGTGACCACCCATATGTGTCCAAGAACAAACCTTAGCTTAGCCGTCCCCCCACGCCACCCCACCACCCACAAATCCCATCTCATCCACAATAATCTTGTATATAAAACTACTATTTTAATTTGTTTAATCATAGAAGTATTCATCAATTCACTGTTATTCACAAGTATTAATTAAAAAAAAAAAAAAACTTTCATAAGTACATATAACTATAAGTAGATATATTATGGATGTGTTTAGTAAATAGTTGTTGGCTGATTGGATTAGTGGACTTGACTAGTTGATAACATTAAGTGATTGTAGAAAAGTGTTTTGCAAATTTGTTGTTAGCTGATAACTGATTACATGAAAAATGACTTTCCTGTTTTGAGCATTCTTTTGAATTTCAGCATTTTGAAACAATAAGCTGTTACAAAAAGCTAATTAGTCAAACACTCATATTATTTTTAACTAAGTCAAACAATTAATAATGGTCAAATAAACTAAAATTGACTGATAAACTAACTATGATACCAAATATAACTAATATGTTCTAGGAGTTAGTGCTCTCACACACATGTATATATGAAGTTTTATATGATAGTGCCCTATGAAAATGAAAAAGCTCATATTAAGTAATTAAAAAAATAAAAAGGGGAAAAAGTTAGTATATATCAAAATTGCCCTCTTGGCCCTTCAAAATTTCCCTTTTTGGCATGACAATGTTGAAACATTCAATTCCCATGTATATACACTCACAAATAATGCTTGACACACTTACTAATGTAGTGAACATTGTTTTTTCTTTGAACCTTTGATGTTTCAAGTACATTTTTGTTGAATTTTAAGTAAATCATTATACTTTAACTTACTAAATACTCTATATTATATATATTATTATGAAAGATATAATTTTATTTTTATCTATCCTATGATTGTGATATTTTCAAATTTCTATTTCATTATTAATATGACCATATATATTTAATTTGTATATTTACTTAAAACTTTTTAAAATCTAATCTGATTGAGTGACGATTGAGTTTGATAAATTTAAAAATAAAAATCTATAGACGTGAGAAAAATTATAATGAATAGTAGGTCAAGGTATGAAATATTTTGACTAAATATAAATGTGAATTAATTAAAAAGGGAATAATGTAGAAGCTAGGGATATTTGATGGATCCCTATGTCCCAATGGTTCAACAACAGCAGATGGAGACATCTCTAAATCAAGGTGGGACAGTCTTAGAATGTCGACGACTGGATCTAAGGTAGGTAGGGGACCTAAACATGCACCTCCACCACATGGGACATTGGAAATCAATATGAAATTAAATAATTTTAATTTCTTCAACTCAATTCTAGCTTAGCTTGCTACTGTTAATTGTTAGGTTTACTTAGTATTCCTAGTTTCAATGCAGTGGTCAATTTAGACATGGATGTCGACAATATTGTGTCTTCTTCCTCTTGATGTTAACATGACTAGCGGTTCAAACCAAAACAGCCAATCATCCGCTTTCATTATGAGTTGAACTTATTATAACTTTGTAGTTACTAAATCAGTAATTTTACTAATTTGATTGTATCGGAATTGCCCAGTATTTTAATCTTTTCAAAGATATATAAAGGGATTAATCTTTATATAAACTGACCAAATCTCTTAATATATATATATGTCTATATCTCTTTAGCTTTGTCACAGACTCTCATCAAAATTATGGTGCTTAAAGTAGGGGCAAAAGGTGAGTAGGGTTGATTATGATACTTGTTTTACTTTTACTGAACCAAGCTCCTTATTAACTGTGTACTTACTCAGACTCTGTTGGTCAAGACTACCTTTGAGCAGAAAGCACATACACATACACTTCTTTTTTGTATCATCATCTCCCACATTCCACTCTTAATAATAATAATATATGGGGTAAATTTCTAGGTTTTGAAAACCATTTCTAGAGCTTTCATGAGCTTTGTGTTTACCTAAAATGTAATGAATTGAAGTGCTTTTTATCCCAACTACCCAACAAGTGGCAGCCAGCACCAGTGCCAGAAACCAGATACCAGCAGCTACCTGCTATCTTCCTTCTCATTCCATTTATGTATGGATTCCAAGGATACATGTTTTATCTTTTGGAATTTTAATCTGGTCTTGTGGAGGATTAAGGTTATCCACCAACCAAACATCTGTTTCTTGCCTTTCCTACTTTAACTTACAATTTTTAACCATATACTATCTTCTTCATCATCACCATTCTCATCTTCTGATCTCCTTCATCTTTTCCTCTCTCTCTCTCTCTCTCTCTCTCTCTCTCTATATATATATATATATATATATATATATATATATATATATATATAAAATTGTGTGTTGAGCGGCTCAAAACCAAAAAGACTAATAGACCAGCTTCCACTAAGAGCGAAACAACTGTTTCACCAATTTGGTTAGAGTTTCACTACATTATATTTGTTCTCTTTAAATGCATGTAGTTTTTGAATATGTAATAGATAATTATTATCAACAAAATGTATAATTAAAAACAAGAATTTAGATATAAACCAGGGTTTTATATATATGGTGCCTAGTGGGAGCCATCGGGGTCTACATGCTATCAATGCTAAAGCCGCATGGAAGCACAACGAAAAAGATATAGTATCCTAATTTTCGTACACATGGTATCATGAGAACTGATAAAAGATTTGCTTTTTCATTTTTTTTCTTTAAAAATATCAAAAAATAAGGTTTATAATTGTAAAATCATAATTAATTATGTATATATATATGTATTTTATTATAATGAAATGTTTACCAATATGTCAAGAACTATATATAGCTAGTTGTGCAGATGTAAGCAGTGAGCGTTATATTTCAATGACAAGATGTTGAACTCTGCTATTTAAATCACAGTTTAATAGTACTATAGACCAAGTTCAATAATATCATACATGTAAACTTGAGACTTTTACGAAAATAAGAGATTTATGTCAACACTGATATTATTCACATAACATTGATCATTAAGTGCGAGTGAATTGAAGTCCATTGGCATCCAATATTCTCTCCAATTTGGGCAGGCATAAAAGCTAGCTTCCCCTGACTAATTGTTACATAGTCACAGTTTAATTGTTACATACAGTTTCATGTGCACATGAATATAATGGGGATTAAAGTAGTATGATGATATGGTTTCACTGAGCTCAAAATGTTGAAAGAAGTTTTCAATTCCTAAAGAAGTGATGAATACATGCAACTGAAACCGAGGTAAGGGAAACGATGCGGGCATATGGCATATAGAGACAGAAAAGCAACCGCCCCCCCACCCCACAACACCCCAACTTTGTGGGTTGGGGGGGTGGGGGTAGGAGGAGTGTGTTCCAAGACACAATGATTACATTGGTCTTGGGGAAGCAGAAAGGGTTGGCGTGAAAGCTAGCAATCTACTACTCTTACTACCATGAGAGGAAGAGAATAATAATATGGAACAACGTGGTGGCTTGACCAAGAAGAGTATAGCAAAAACCCTATTTAAAAATGGGAGGAACTTAGTTTATACATACTACTCTTCATTCTTAGCTTAAAAGATATTCAAATTATGGAGTATTTAAGTCATATTGAAATAAATCAATTAATCAACTCAAATCAATAAGATCAATAGACAGCACCTATGAGTCAAACTTGGAGCCAAGAATTAATGCTTAGAATAATCTATACTAATGTTACTCAACTCCCTTGCTACATATGACATTCAATATTCCCACTAGGCTAAGACTAATTTGGATTTGATTCGAGTGACACTTATACATAAAGTTTTACATACTTAGGGAAAGTTTAGGATAAGACGTTTATTTCTACGCTAAGTATAGCTAGTAGCGAATATGCAACTCGATTTCTTTATATCACCATATTTTTTAGAAACAAAGTAATGGACTTGACTTTTTACTGACATCTGCCTAACAATTCATTTACCACTTGATTTTGGACTTAGCCCTTTACTAGCCTTGACTAACAGAAAAGAAATAATAAGAAAGTGAGAGGTGAGATGCAGGGCGGAATGGATCGGAGAGAGGAGAAAAAAAGAATGCCGTAAAGAGAAAGGAAAGGATAGTAACACAGTGCATACACATCTCTATAAATGCAATGAGGATGTGAGTGGAGTTGGGGAGAGGGCCCAGAAGAGAAAGAAAACACAAGGGAACAGAAACATACCAACAAAGCACAAGGGAGAAAGGGAAACATTGGAGATGTCTAAGTTGATGGTATTGTGATAAAAAGGAAACGTCTTTTCATTCAATTCATTCTCCATCCAGTATTTCCATTCATTCAACTCCATCCCACCCAAACAAAAACAAAAAACAAAATAATCCAGTTTGCTGAAGAAGAAGAAGAAGATCAAAGAGATCAGAAGGAAGTAGCTAGCTAGAAGAAGGGCATAAGCATAAGCTAATTAAGACTCCACTAATATCATCAAAACACACAGAAAAGCAACCCAAGAAAGGTCTGTATGTATGTCTTTCTTCTCCTTTTCTGTTTCCTTTTCAAGCCCTTTTTTTCCCTCCAACCCAACCTAGCTAGAAGAATCCAATATTTTGATCTCTTTAATTATATTCTAGTATATATATATATATATATATGTGTGTGTGTGTGTGTGTGTGTGTGTGTGTGTGTGTGTGTCATACTATATATACTTTTCATCTCTTTGTGTAAGAAAGAAAGGGATGATTATCAAACAACCCTAAAGTCCTTCCAGCTCCATACTTGTTTTGTAGTTTCTGAACATTATTGTATTATAATCTGAACAACCACAGATCATAGATATGATGATGCACCAAGCTAATTAAGCATCCTTAATTAATTAACCTTAACATCTTTGATATGATATATGTATGATCAAGAAATCTGGTCTGAAGATAAGTATGTATACTAGGTTTTTTTTTTTTTTTAAGGATCAAAGATATGCAGCCACAAAGCACAGATGCATACATGGGGAGTGGTGCAGGCAATACTAGGTCAGATTTGATGTTCCCAGAAGTGTCTCCGGTTCTTCCCTGGCCGGTTCAGAGCTTCAACCCGGTTACCTTCCCAGCCAACCCGGTCCGTGACCACGACCAGTTTCTCATCCCGCCGCCACCCTCGCCATACGGCGGCCTGTTCAACAGAAGGCCGCCGCCGGGCCTGCAGTTCGCTTACGACGGACAGACGTCGGAGCACCACCACCTCCGCCTCATAACCGACACGCTGGCGGGCCATGTGGTCCAGCCCGGCTTGGCGGCGCCGTTCGGGCTCCAGGCCGAGCTGCAGAAGATGACTGCGCAGGAAATCATGGACGCTAAAGCTCTGGCCGCTTCCAAGAGCCACAGCGAAGCCGAAAGGAGGAGAAGAGAAAGAATTAATAATCATCTTGCTAAGCTTCGCAGCCTTCTTCCCAGCACAACAAAGGTAAGCTTTTCTCTTTTCTTTTTTTCCCTTCTTTTTTTTTTTTTAAATTAACATAATCCATCCACTTTATAACAATCATAATCATATCATTCTTTTTTGAACAAAAGAAAACCATAAATAAATTTAATATACACTTTTAGATCTTCCAAGATCTTGCATTGATCGGTCATGGAACTCAAAAACATATACTAATAACAAAAGACCTTAACAAAATAACACAAATTAGATTTGTTGATATTCGAGAAGACAAAAGATGGAACGTAAAAATTAAACATACTTTAATATGGTATATATTAAACTAAACAGTGTCTCTATTTCAATCTGTTTCCACTGGAAAAATTTGGGATATTCGGACTTGTAGTGGGAGTTCCGAGGAAAGAAGAAATGGGAAAAAGGAAACAAAACAAAGCGTTAATGTCGCATGGTTGATGTGTTAAAGACAAACCAAAGCAACAGCAGAAAAGCTTCCCAGCTATGGGAAACTCTTGATAAAGAAATACTATGTTAGTAAAGACAGACAAATAAGCATTCTTGTCTGTCGTGCCCATTTTGTTAGCCTAGCTTAAACCCTACTAACAAAAATTTCAACGTTTGTAATCTAGCCAAGTTGGTCTAGCCAAGTTGGTCAAGCTGGTTTAATTTGCCTTTTTGTATTTCTTTGCTGCCTAGCTAGAAATTTACCCAGTTTACATCCTCAGACAATGACTATAAATGAGTTTTGTCATTCAGACAAACAATAAAATAGAATTCAAAGCCCATTTTCTTCTCTTAAAATAGAGCTTATTGGTCTCAACTTTGGGATTTTGAATTACAAAAAAAAATGTAAAGGTCAAGATGAAAGTGACGTTGAAATGAAATGAATATATAACGTAGTAAGAGTGAATATAAAAATAAAATGCTGATTTTTGGAGTTGGATGTATAGACGGATAAAGCTTCATTACTAGCGGAGGTGATACAACACGTGAAGGAGCTGAGGAGGCAGACATCAATAATCTCGGAGACGACCCAAATCCCGACGGAGGTGGACGAGTTGACGGTGGACAACGCCGCCGACGACGACGGAAAGGTGATGATCAGAGCCTCATTGTGTTGCGAGGACAGGTCGGACCTGTTGCCGGACCTAATCAAGGCCCTGAAAGCTCTGAGGCTAAGGACTCTGAAAGCCGAAATCACCACCGTCGGCGGGCGTGTCAGGAACGTTCTGTTCATCACCGGAGAAGAAGACAGCGACGGCGACGGCGGCAATGACCCGCCGGCGTCGCAACAAAGTCTCCAGCATTGCTCCATAAGTTCGATTCAAGAAGCGCTGAAAGCTGTGATGGAGAAAGCCAGCGGGGAAGAGTCGGCTTCTGGGAATGCAAAGAGACAGAGAACCAACAATATCAATATCCTTGAACAACAACATAGATCTCTCTGATAACGTAACAAATGATAATAATAAATAGTAATAACTTACTCTGATCTTATGTTGTTTTGCTTTTTTGTTTTTTGCATGTGTGAGCTTTCTTTGGGGGTGTTTTGTTTGGTTTGGTGATATACTGGACATTATTGGACACATTTCACATATGGGATATGGGATCAAAGATTCAGTCCGGCCAACTTTTTTTTTTTTCCTTCCTAAAATAGAGAAAATGTCTGGGGGGGGGGGGGGGGGGGGGGTTGATGTGTTTATTGATGAGAAAACCCCAGAAACCTAACGTAGAATCGAGAATATATGTTTGATTACGTTGTTGATTATCTGGTGCAAACATGCAGTCTGTTGGTTTGTAATATGTTGTGATAGTGAGGGAGAGAGAGTGTGTGTGATGACGTTGGGGTTTCATCATCTGATGTCATGTACGTTCTCACCCACTACCGCCACCGCCACCGCCAGCCGTCCTCCTCCGCCTTCTGATTGGTGTTTTTAGGTTTCCAGCCGGAGATACACTAACAATGCTTGTGGGTTTGATGGTTTCTGATTGATTGAAAATTGAAATTGGGGAGTATGTACATGTATATTATTGGCCCTCTATTATAATATATAATATATCCTTATTTAAGGTTTTCATTTACTATTTTCATTATTTTTATTATCAAAATTTGACATATAAAGTAAGACATAAATTTTAATGTTAATCCGATTATATAGGTAATATATATTTGCTTAAAATTTACTCTGGATACTGCACATTGTTTCCTGAATGTATGATTAAGTAGTACAGTACACGAAATATAAATTTCCTGGGCGTATATGATGAATACAAAAATATGCATGCATGTAAAGGATTCATAAGATCGAAATTTTAAGCAAATATAATGTTGCCACCCTAGCTAGCTGCAATGTCATAGTCAAATGGCAATACTAACTAATTAATTACATATACACCTAGTAGGAGACATGAAGGACAACTAAAGATCTTACAAGGATCACATATATATGAACCCCAATCTTTTGGCCGGGAGAAAAAGGATCACATATATATACATACAACTGCCTAGCTACTAGCTCACACAACATATCTATAATATCAAATAATGCATATTCATTATTTCAAAGAGTAGTCACAACTGTTCGAGTAGTATTTTGTTGAATCTTTTTTGAGGTATGCTAAAAAGAGCGCACATATAGTGTGTGTTTCAAAATGAAATGGGGTAGCGGACTATATATCTTACCTAAGAATCCTAAGAATTGTGTGGGAAGATTGCGCGGCTAATAATAATATCCAAAATGTTCTGTCGGGTCGGGGGTGGGGGCCCTTAAGGTTGGGGTTCAACATTTTGGAAGAATAATAATAATAATATATAGTTTGTGTATGCATGCAATGCATGCATGATATATTTATTGGGTTGGGGAAGCATAATCTAGCTGATAAATGTTGATGAGAATTTAAGTGAGTAATCAGTAGGCGCTAGCTGCAATATGTATCGGTCCAGCTGACAATCATTATGAGCATGTTAAACAAAATCTAATGGATCCTGTAGGGACTGCATGGTAAATACTTATATATTTACTGGTAGCAATAAAACAGGAATTTTATTACTCCGTATTATACTTATATATTTACTGGTAGCAATAAAACAGGAATCTTATTACTCCGTATTATATATGGAAAATATACGTGTCTATCACAGGGGGTTTGTAAAAATATAGTAAATGGCCCATGCAGGAAAATATACGTGTCTATCACAGGGGGTTTGTAAAAATATAGTAAATGGCCCATGCAGGTCTCGAACCTGCGACCTTCGCGTTATTAGCACGACGCTTTAACCAACTGAGCTAATAGGCCAATGCTTTCGTGTGTCTTCTTTTTTTCATAAAATAAAAGACGGCTTTGTTGGGAAGTTCGCTATAACCCCTTCACCCCACAGTGCTTTGACTTGGTTTGTAGTTTGGTCTCCGCGCTTTGAAGGTGATTGTGTGTGGACTGAGGAGGTGGGACGTGAGATTGGTCAAGAAAGACGAATCGAATATTATTCACTAAATTTGTTTGGGTGTGGAGCCTGGAGGTGACAGTGTGCGTATCGATTATTGAACTACTGGATAAAGATGGAGTCAAACTAAAATCAAAATGCATTTGGTAAAGGGAGTTGAGAAGAGTTGCAGAGAAAGTAAAGGGAGCGAGAGGGCGGGTCAAGACGGCAACTTTTGAGTTTTGAAACACAGCATTACAGAAATTAGGGTGTTTGATTCTTCTTATTTTATAGCTTTCCCATGGCCAGGTATCTTTTAATTTTAATGCCATTCATTAGATAAAGTGGAAAACTCCAGCTTTATTGATAGATGTTGTTGAATCTTAATCTGAAAGTCTGGATTCTCAAGAATGGTTTTTTTTTTTTTTTCTTTTCTTTTCATGTATGTCTGACATCATTAAACTTAAAAAGAAGGAAGAAATTCCAAACTTTATGAGTGACTGTTGAATCTGGAAGTAAATGAGTGACTTAAAGTTCAGATCTTTTTGGTCTTCTGAGGGCAGAGTTCTCCATGGCAGCTGATTTTAATCTGAATCAAGAGTTGGGTTTTAGTTTATCTGACACTCCATGAAAATGAAAAGTAAAAAAAGAAGGGAGAAATCAAACCCATTTGGTTTCCCAGTGAATGGGTTGAAAGGAAAAGGCCCATTTTGATATTGTAAATGATAGTTAGAACCAAACTGAGCTGCTATGTTCAATTGTTCAGTGACTTGATGCATCTGTAGTGATTTAAATGGAATTACTAATGTCAGTATTCCAAGATACTTAGGGATTTCTGATTGGTGCTTAATGAGATAAAATAGATTACTTCAGCTGAGAATGAATTTTGCTTTTGGGGAATTACAGATGAAAAATAAACAGTTCAGATAAAATTTATTCTAAATTGCTCATTTTGGTGTTTCTTTTCATTGCTATATTCTTACTTTTGTGTTGGTTCCCTCGGTAGTTGGTTCAAAATCGTAAGGTTGCTCTCCCTTGACACCGTTAGTTTTATATTCCAAGTCGTATTGCAACTCTGTAGCAGCATAGGCGTGTTGAGAGAACAATGTTAGCATATACAACTAAACTCTTTGGGTTTAGATAGTAATTCCATATACATTTTGACATTTTAAATAGATTGACTGTAGGCTAAGGTGAAATGAAGTAGACGGTTACTACATCTGACATGTCTTATTTGGTATAAAATTACTGAATGACTATTTGCACCTTGTGGAATTGTTCATTTATGCTCGTATTGTTCGATTTGAACCTTGCAGACCTTCATGGTTGGTTGACAGTAAGAGAATCGCAACAAAGATTAGAAGTGCATCAGATGATCCAGGAAATATTAACTGGAAAAGCAATCCTACAAGAACTTGCCCCAGTTGCCACTATATTATTGACAATAGTGATGTAAAATCCTTTATCTTTGACTTTTACTTTCACTGGATAATTTACTAAGTACTGTGCTTTTTTTGTTTGATAAGTGAGGGTAAATTCATCTTCCCTCAGGTAACTCATGAATGGCCAGGATTGCCAAGAGGTGTGAAGTTTGATCCGTCTGATCAAGAGATTATCTGGCACTTACTTGCAAAAGTTGGTCTTAATGATTTGAAATCTCATCCTTTTATCGATGAGTTCATTCCGACAGTTAATGAAGATGATGGGATATGCTACACGCATCCTCAAAATTTACCTGGTATTATTCTAAGATTCTTATCTTTTGGCCTCCACTTCTTTGTTGTTTTGTCCTTAGCGTCACTTATGGTAAAGGCCCAACCTTTTAGGTGTTAAGCAGGATGGCACCGTTTCCCATTTCTTTCACAGAGCTATCAAAGCCTATAACACTGGAACTCGAAAGCGTCGAAAGATACATGGCGATAATTTTGGAGATGTTCGTTGGCACAAGACTGGTCGCACTAAACCCGTGGTCTTGGATGGTATACAAAGAGGGTGTAAGAAGATAATGGTTCTTTATGTGAGCTCAGCCAAGGGTGGGAAAGCGGAGAAAACGAATTGGGTTATGCACCAGTATCATCTCGGGACAGGGGAAGATGAAAGGGAAGGGGAATACGTTGTTTCCAAAGTGTTTTATCAGCAACAGCAAGTGAAGCACAGTGAGAAAAACGAGCTTGAATCTCCAGAGGAAACCGAATGTTTGGATGCTAAGAAAGACCCTTCTACTCCCAAAACTGCGACTCCTGATCCCCTTCATACAGAAACGAGACCATCGAGTTTCGTTGCAGGACTGGAGACCCCTAATATTCAGGTGAGTTCACTTCAATGTAGATGATATGCTAAAAATATTGTGTTATATATTTATTCTTCGTATCCAAAAGGACTTATTTTGTTGTATTTATGCACTTGCTTAACCTTCAGCATCGGGAAGTGGATTACACAAAAGCTGACATGGAGATTCCATTGGAGAAGGGTGATAATCAAGATGAAATCACACCGAATCAAACTGAACAAATGGAGTTGCAAAATGAGAATGAAGGTGGTGAGGATCGGAAATGGTGGGATAGTGAATCACAGTATCTGTTAGACTCGCAACAGCTTGTGGAAGGGTTGTCGTTATGTGATGAACTTCTCCAGAGTCAATCTCCAAATAGGGATGGGGATCAAAACGGGAAAGACCATAAGTCCACATCCTGTCTATCTGATTATCGACACTTAGGGCCAGAGAATTTTAAGAAGGATCTCGAGGAGTGCCAAGAATTGGTCCTAGATGTGCCACCCGCAAATCAAAGTGGTAAAGAGAAAAAGTGCATGCCCCATCTCTCTGATTATGGACACTTGGGGACCGAGAATTTTAAGTTCTTGGAAAACAGCCAAGAGTTGGTTCTTGACCCCGAAAACATAATGCTAGATACACCTCCCGACTTTCGGCTAAGCCAACTCGTAAGTCTTTTTTCATTGTTTTACATCCAAATGAATCTATATACGCTTTAATTTTCTAACGTTGCTTGGTTATGTTCGATATTCAATCTTTTTTCCTAGGAGTTTGCATCTCAGGACAGTTATGTTGCTTGGGGTGGGAACAATATTGATCCCACTGAGCAAGGTAGCTGATATCATCATCTGACCTGCACTTCTGATCCGAAGGGACTGGTATTAATTTTGTGTGGGTGATTATGTAAGGCTGCTAGTACGTAGCATTACCTATTTTGTGCAATGCACTGCTTATGTAACCGTTCTGCATTTCAATATGCGTTTTTGGAGCTTGATCAACTGCATGGCGGCCAGCTACCTTGTTTCCATAGCAGCAACGAGATATCAATATAATTGTCTATCCCGTTTTGTTGCTAATGTATTGTTTGTATATGTACTCAACCAACTGCATATTAATGGTATATTAACTATTTGGTTTACTACCACAAAACATCTCGCCTTTAATTTGTTACGCATTTCTAATCGTCCTAGAAAAGTAGGAAATTGTTCGTCTTCACAAGTTCTTTGCCCCAATTATAACATTTGCAGATTGCAGTTAACTATCCTCTTTGTACTTGAGATATATGGCTTCTTGTTACATTGTGACAATATACAGGAACTGGGCAGCTTAAAGATATGCAGATCGAGCATTCAAGCTTCTTCAATTCTGATTACATCACGATTCTGTCGCTCGTTGATATTGACGCAGGAGTTGAATGTCTGATATCCAGGTTGGACTTCAATTGTTGAACATTATTTATGTTGGTGTGCAGTTGGGAGAAACATTCTTAAGTTTGATGTTGTGTGAACGAGGAAGGGGTTGTTTTCCACTTAAATGTCTTGTCTGAAAGCACAGCTGGTAGGATTGACATGTTCATGAATGAGAGGGGGGCAACGTACATGTCATTACAGCTACCAAGAAATGCCATGAAAGAGACTGGGCATAATCTAGGATGATATGAGTATGTAGTTGTGGAGAGGTTGTCGAGGGGACCATTAATGGCTGCATCATCGTTCATTAACTCTGCTGAATTGAATCATTGCATTCTTACGGGGAAGGTGGATGAGAACCACTTATCTTTAGGGACATAGATTTTACAAGCATGTGAAGGTGAGGTGGATTTGGAAGCAAAATCCATGGATTCTGCACGGCACTCATGTTCTATCAACATCTTCCAATATGCCTATGAAATAGGGTATCATGATGACTAGTACTATGTTAGACCTAAATATTTGACTAATTAAGGTCACAAGGTCTGGTTTAGTCGGTGCACATTCTACAGCAGTGGTTGCGATTTCTCCCGCCACTCAAAAAAAAAATAATGAGTTCTATGGGTTTATTGTTGGAAATTTGTCAATTATCAATCACTTTTTTATATCAACCAACAAAATGAATGGAAATTAGCAAAATTTTTAATATATATATTATGCATGGTGAAAGAAGATTGAAGAGCAGGCATGGAGGGAGTGGGCGCCATAGAATTGCCCAGTTTTGGATAAGAATAATGGAACTTATAAAAGAGCTGCAGATGTGGGTAATTCTTAGGTCCAAACAATATGGTATTCGGTCATCATATATATTTCTTGTTAGTTATTCTTAAAAATAAACGGATTTTTACGTAGGTGTTGTGAATTGAGAATAACAACATAAGAATAAGGCGAGGATGAAAAACAAATCCACGTGAAAAAGTGGGGAGTAGCTAGAATAATATGAAGCAAAAGACAAACTGGTTCACACTGATATGACCAGCTGCACTTGATCCATATTCTTCCCATCAATAATTGTCTCCAAGATAGATCATGTAACATTGAACCCAGAAGAGTAATGAGTGAGTCCAAGCTCATGTTTAGCCTACACAAACAACAAAAATGTGTCACCAAGAGATCAGATCAAAGGGTGTGAATTGATTTGAAGTACATACCCTTTCAAAGGTGCCCTCCATCCAACTTGTTGTGGTCCTATGAATTGCATGATGCCATACATTATGGGACCAACCAATCAACGTTAACACACTCATCACAATCATGCACCTACACATAATGTATTGCTACGCGTATACCATTACGTTCCTGAGAACAATATACTCCAGTTTCTACATTACTTCTACCTACGTTGTTGTGTTTGATACAGTACGTGTTACATATTGATTGTCTAGGGGTGTTTGACTAGAGTCCAAAATTCGCTCAATTTGGATACCAACAAATTAAGTGGTGATCTCTCGAAGAAAAAAGTTAGATATTCACGTTCTTAGGGAGAGAAAAAGTATTTATATTATAATTCTTGTAGGGTTTGAAAAATTGACTTATAGGTAATCATAACTTAAGAATAACCACTTATTTTATATCTATTAATTGTTGACAGTATAACACTGAAAGATCAAGTGTTATCTTTACATATACGCAAGTTTGTTGTCCAATTTCCTCAGGTATGGTCCAAATTAAAGATTTGGACCACTCCTCCATTTCTCTCTTGGTGGCCTGGTGGATTAATTAGATGTACATGATTGAGCGGGTATCATCTATATATTTAGGAGTGTAAAAATTGAAAGTATGGATGTAGGAGGGAAGAATGGGGTTGGACCAAAAGTGAGGGAGACTACTTTATTTGATGATATATGATGATTAGATTAGAAAAGAAAGAGAGGGTGGTGGGGTTTTAGGAAAAGGGGTGCACGTGGGGGGATAAGGCTGCCACTTTGACTCATCAAAAAAGCTGTCGGGGGGTTGGGTCTGGTTGGTTGGCAACTTTGGTGCGGATTACAAATTAAATATAAATCTTGTATGGGCAACTCAGTTGGTCATAGACGTAAAGTTTATAAATAATGGTTCAGGATTAAGTCTCATCAGTGAAAGCGTAGGAGTAATCTCTCAAAGTGAAAGAGCTCCTTGTGCGAAGTAAGCAAAAATCTAGTTTCTGTATTCAGCTGTTTATCATGATTTACATCCTCTTATATGCTCTGTTAAGTCAAAATGTGAAATTTTTAAGGTTGGGGATTCAATCTTTGCGAACAACCAGAAATTAAATATGAATGAATGAATGAAGATTTATGGCAACTCTATTTTCTTGGAGTTGGAGGTGGCAGACACTAGAATATTATATTAAGGATTTACCCTCTCTTCATCCTAACATCCCATGTCCCCCTGTTCTTTCCCTTTCCCTTTTCCTTTTCTCTACACTTTTTTTGCAAAAATTATTCTACCATGTATACATACATTTGACCAAACATATCTTTTTTAAGTCTTCAACATTATTGTTACACTACTTTTTCTTCCATGCAATAATTAAGTGGATATAATTAAGATAAGACTCATATGTAATATCTTATCTTAAATAATATAATAAACTTTTAAGGAGTATAAGGATATTTACGACTCCTTAAAGTTGACAAGAAATACTAGCACTTCTGAATAGAAAAAGAAAAAAATAGATGAAAAAAGTTAGATATATATATAGCAGCGTAAGATTTTTCTCTTTTTTTAAGGAGTTAATTAATGTATATTATATTTTAAAAAATTACATTTTCCAAGGCATAAAGATGAAAACATGATATGATATTCAACCGTTTGGTCCAGTGTTTCCCATTAGTCATAAATATGTACAACATTAATTAGGAGTCATTTCAACCGTACACGTGGTGCACGTGAACTGGTTGGATCATATCACATTGCTCGCTGGTCCCACATTAGTGGCTTTGACCAACCAACCAATAGTCTTGTGATTATTAGTTAATTAATACTATTAGCTTGTGAATTTACCTTTTAATTTCCTTCATTCAAAACAAAATTTACACATAATTATAATTTCAATTAATTACTTATTACATAAAGGTCTGCAATAACACAAATTCACTTTTGCCTAATAACTTGTAAATTATATAGAAGATGTAACGCATAACAGAAATATTTTGTGCAACAGACTTAATCAAAAAAAATGTTAGCAAGAATCAAATTTGTGACCTTCTAATATGAAAGTTATGTCTCACAATTCAGTTATTCTTTTGGAACTTAATAAAGATTAATTTTCACGAATATTAATATAATCTAAGCTCCATTTTGATTGGGAGAAGGCACTATCAAACTTCAATTAATTAATAACCTTAAATTAATATAAACTTGATTGTTTATGTTGTTTGGCTGTGGGACAATGAAATAAAGTCGAAGAATTAAATTATCCTTCAACTATTAAGCAAGAAAGTGGGTTTATCGATGTATTATTGTATATTATCCTTCACTAATTATATACAAACAGACAAACAAAAAAATAATTTCTTAAAATTTTATTAAATGCCATATGATATGATTATTATATTCGACAATGAATTTAAACTAACCGACAAATAGAAAAATAATTATATGTTATTTCAACATCGTGCGTCAATAATATAATCATCATGCTTTGCAGACTGCTTTTTCAATATCATATCACCACTGAAATTAAAGAAATAAAAACAACATTTTGATTAAGGCCCTCACTTTTATTTTTGTGATATATAATATCCTGTGTATTCATCAAAGGATCAAAGACTATCTGAAAAAATAAATTTGCATTGAGAATATAATGACTAAGTTGATATATATAACTGAAACTTTTTTAGAAAGTCGAATTTAGAACATTGTGATTATCAAATTAACTGTCGGACTAAGTTAATTGGGGCTGCCTGGAATGACTGTGTGGTTAAAGTAAACACACTGGAGTTGAAAAGGGAAAGATAGGAGTAGTAGAAAAAGGAAAGAGAATAGAAGACTACTTTACGCCGAAAAAGTTAATCAAAATAAAATTTATAATATATCCAATAATGTACACAATGCAAGCAGCCTTGTTGAAGGCTAAATATGATTAGGTAATAATATAATGGTACAAAATTGTTGAAATCCTTTGGCTAATTGCTGCCAAGAATTGAAACCCTCCAAGAACAGTGCAAAACAGAAAACTATTGACCTTCACTATCATCATCACTATGTGAGATCTAGATTGGCGTGCGTGCAATTGCTAGTGGGATTTCTTTCCCAATTGGAAGATTGGGAATCAAACTTCATTCATTCCGCCCTATATAGCTATCCCTAGCTAGCTGATGCTGATGTCTTCTTTATTGGAAGGGTTTGGAGCCCTAATTTTACTTTTTTTTTTTTTGTCAAGACATCTAAATTTAGCGTGTAGTCGTGTACTTCTTAAACACCATAGTCGGGCTCGATCTGGCTTGTTTTAGCGGCGGATGGAGAGCGGGTAAAAGCCATATATGCATCGGTCGGCGTGAGAGATGAAAGGAGGGAGTACAAAGAACTAATCATGCCAGCATAGGAGCATGACCACACATCTCCTGATGATGTAGAGCCTAGCCCTTTGTTCTCTTAGGGCTCCTCCTAGCCCTCTGCTGGAAATCCTTCTTTTGGAGGCTGCCATGCTACCACTGCTGCCCATCATCTTCATGTTTAGTAGTAATGGAATTGAAGGTAGCTAGATAGATTGAGAAATTGGGATTTTGGAGGGGTGGAGTAGAATGAATGAATAATGGAGTTGGGAGTTGGAAGGCAAAGAGTGATGAGGGGGGAGTTTTATAGGCTGTATGGAGTGTGGTCCTAAGTTTGATTGGTCTAGTAAAGAGCCAACTAATGGGCATCAAAGAGCGTGCAGTGCCCCCTAGCTCACCAGGCAAGCCAATTCCCTTTGGGATTCCATACCCCTCCCCCCACTTCATCCTAGCTAGTTTGGGTGAATGGGTGGGTGTAGGGGCCACTTTAATTTCTTATTTGTCACAATATATATTCTTGAGTATATAATCATTAATGTGCAATCCAACTATCAGCTTAGTTTTTTAGTTGAGATACAACACATGCTTCAATTTGGTATTAGAGTCATGACAAAGATATGAGTTATTGAGTAAAGATTGGAGATTTTTTTTTTAGCACTACATACCATCATTATGAAGCTAATTTCTAAGTAGATTCAATATATGGTGATCGAATTTCTCTCATCAATCTCTACAACTTAATTTTATGAGTTCGATACTCCTCCAAATGGCCTTAGATCGACCTTTACTCACAATTGATTGTGTGAGTGTGGCCTCACTTTGTTATTATTATTATTTTTAAAATAAAAACTATCCATCTACCTATTAAAATTAACCAAATCTTCAAACAAAATAAGAAATTTGTATATATAAAAGACCCATCAACTCTCAAACTCATACAAATTAAAATATAAGATGAGATTCAAATTTAAAATTTCAACTTAAATAATAGACGTCAACACTAACTCAACTTTATAGTGCGTAATGTCACTCTCGTTACTTATTTTTGTGTAAGCACAACTCACCAACATGTTGGGTCAACAATTACTTCAATAAGGTAGCAAGGGTTATTGGAGAGTTTATGAGCTTACCCTACATTGTTGATGATGACATTACAATTGCAAGTTTTAATTTTGGTGAGCAAAAAAAAAAGAAAAAGAAAGAAAAGAAAAGCACAAACATATCTTTTAGGTTAATTTATTTGTTGGATCCACCTAGATATGTTGTGTGATGGTTGAATCCTACTAAACAATGCACATCCTAACCACCTTTTAATTTGGAAGTGTTTAATGAGTCTTAATGATCTCATGTATGTATATATTATCCTTCATTTGACTAAACCAAACATAATTGTCATTATGTGAATGTTGTGCCATCATGGAGTGCACCTAATTATTAGAAAAATATGTTTGTGCAGTGGTTAAGGTAAGAGGACAAATAATAATAATAATAATAATAATAATAATAATAATAATAATAATAATAATAATAATAATAATCCAATATAAAACAGAGCTCGTGTAAGGATATTATATTCCTCATTGCAATTATAAACATACAGAAATGAAATATATTATAATGTTTGTATTTTGTTGTTATTATCGTCATCCTCTATTATCGAGACGAAACTTATTCTAATCTCTTAAAAATTTAAATATTAACGAGATTATATATATGTGTTTGGCAGCTGGCATTAATTAACTGTTTTTATGGACTTAAAATGCAAGTTATACACATAAATTTTATTATAATCACATGAAAATTCCTGGCTATAAATATCTTAAACCTGAACGCTTCCCATTATGGTTTTTGGATGGCAAGAATTTTACGCTACCTGCCGACGGAATTGGATCAAAATAAGAGTCAAATCCTCACGTGAATATGTTCTAATTTTCTTTAAACTATTCTCACAATTTTCTAACAAAGTACATATTGAAACTGGTATAATATAATATAATGAATTCCATGAACAAATATGTTTGCTATATATATATATATATTGATTCGACTGCAAATTAAATGTCACACAAGCCCGATATAATCTAGATCTAAATGAATTTGCATCAACAAAACTTATATATGGTGGACTTAGACACTTAGTGTGTTGTCTCAATCTCTATCTAAACTGACACAGATAATTCAATTAGTTCATCATTTATTCCTCTACTATCTTGTGATATTGTGAGTGGGTGTTCAAAGTTGAAACACAGAGAGCATGATAATAATAAGAAGCATATATAGAAGGGAGGCAGCGAAATCGAGGTGGTTTTTGGAGCATAGTTGGAGGTGTCCCATGCATGCTGAGGCATTATATTGTTGTACTGTACAATCTTTCATGCATCCTTGAAAACTGGGCTCAACAGGGAAGACTCGGCCGACCAGCCACACGTGATGGCGTGAACTGCATGCCCGCCCCTCTTCTGCTGCTTTATAATATATATACTTTACTGTACGGCATATATATAATATATAATATATACATATATAGTTTAGGTTTTGTATATGCTTGAATTGTGGTCTACGGTGTGTTTTTAAAAGGTAATTGTTTAGTGCACAACTTGTTACAACTAGGCAAGTAGCTGTTTGAGTTGACTAAAGGACACAACATCACACCAAGAAATCCCCAAACAACTCACGTTACGCGTCGAGATCAACAACGTAACATTCCACTTCGCTTCATTGTTTAGCTAGGTAGCTTGTTTTGCATTTTTCATTTGATGTCGTATACATTACATGGTGGATTTATAAATTTGTACTGTGTAATTTATATATCTTTTCAGAACAATTCTTTTTTTAGTATTGGACATACATGATGTTTCAATTAAGCATGGTGCCCATGTATGCATTTATTTATTTATTTTAAAAATTATCAGTATGAAAACATACATTATCTAATCGCAGATGATAATTGGAGTAGTGAGTCAAAAATAAGTAATGGACAGACAAGAGGTAGCACCCAGGTTAGAAGGATATAGCCAACTGCCCAACTTTATCACTTTTGCTCATTTGTAATTATTCTTAATGGGCTAAATAATATGTGGAGTCCAATGTTTCAACAAGCCTATTTTGGTCCAACATCATTGTATATGGGCTGGGCTGCGTAGCCCAAAGAGAAGCTTAAGTGTTTGGATTATTGCATCCCTGCAGATTATGATTGTATGAGTTCCAACTTCCAAGTATGGCAAATCATTCTCTCTTTTTTTCTATAGGTTGCAGATATAGAAGTTTTTTTGCTTTTTTTTTTTTTTTTTTTTTTTTTTTGAAAATGTATACCAAGTAAATCCCACTCTTATATATATTGTAACTAAATAACTATATGAAACGGGAACTTATAACCTTTAGTCTTTAAATAAGTACGAATGTCATACTCTAGTCACTCTGCTAAGCTTTTAGGAGCTTTAAAAGTTATAACAATCTGATGGAAGAGCTCAAATCACAACCAAAATGGTTAAACTTAGAGTTCATAATTGAAATTATATTTTTAATATTGAATTATTATTAATTACAGAGTATTTCTTTATAATTATAACAATATTAATAATAAAATAAAAAATCATAGTTAAATAATTCATTTAAAAATACAAAGATAATAATAAATTATAAAAATATTTAAAAGTTGAGTAAATAACACAATACACTTATACCCTTATAACTCATTTACATATAATAAATTAAGATTAAACAACTAATTTATCAAACATCTTTCTATAGTCAATTAATACTATTCGCTATTAGCTAAACCAATCAGCTATAAACTAATTACCAAATATTTCATAGTATTATGTGTTTATTTATATTATACAAGTAGAATAGTAAGTAGTAACACGTCCATACATACATAAATAATATAAAGGTGACATCTGAAGAAACTAGATTATTGAATAACGTGTGTGTTTGTACCAAACTTGTCACAATACTAAAACTCGTCAATAAGTCGGTACACAGTAGTTTTGGGAGAAGTTTAACTAAACCTTGTCCTTTCTCTTCTTTATGATGATTTTAATGCAACTCTTCATTTTTATTCTGCCACGTACATTATTGACATGTACTTGTGGAGTACTAGTTAATGACTTATCCTTTTCGACCATGCACAATACATCATGATTGTAAAACTCTATGAGTTTAATTATTTTAATCCAATTCAAATTAATTTTATAGTCGTGGGATATAAGATATTGAAAAAAATAAAAATAATAATACTAATCGCCCTCCAGCGGATGACAGCGCAGCGGGGGGAACAACGTTTTCTTTGTTTCCACACGTTAAAGCCGTCGAAAACGAATCTTGAATCCGTGAAAAGCATCGATAGGCGTATTTTATTTATTATATTGAATAATTCCTTTGGGATTAATAATTTATATGATATTATCTTGTCTCAATCACACTCCCACAGTCGTCTAAGGCGAGCTGAGAACTGATAAGTCTTTAATCATTGCATTGGTTTCATTTCTGGGATTGGTTAGTGTTTTGAGGCTTTAGGGTGGGGCCAATTAGAAATGGGGATTGGAAGATGGAAGCTGGTAGTGGCGGCGGTGGTGATTGCATTCCATTGCTCCGTCGCGGTGGGCGAGCAACGGCGGCTAAGGTTTGATGCCAAGAATGGGCAGTTCCGGATACTTCAGGTGGCGGACATGCACTATGCCGACGGCAAAGCCACCCATTGCCTGGACGTGCTGCCGCAGCAGGAGGCGTCCTGCTCCGATCTCAACACCACCGCCTTCATCCACCGCATGATTCTCGCCGAGAACCCTCACCTCATCGTTTTCACCGGTACATACCCTTTCTTATCCTTTCCACTTTCCCCTCGATGGGTCCAGGCACCTCTAAAGCCATTATAGATTACTGCTAATTAATAAGCCAAGATTCATTGCCCAAATTGATAAAGTTTGAATCTTTTTTACTGTTCATGTATGTATTGGTGTAACTCAGAACATACAGTTGCCTGATCTTAATATCAATTAGCAAACTAAGTTTTGTGAGTCAAATTTCACCTATATTCAATAACCCCAGATTTCCCAGGAGCTGAATGCCAAGTTATTGATGTATGCAGGGGACAACATTTTCGGATTTGATGCTACTGATGCTGCAGCATCTATGAATGCTGCATTTGCCCCTGCTGTATCTTCAAACATTCCCTGGGCTGCTGTATTGGGCAACCATGACCAGCAATCTACTCTATCGAGGAAAGGCGTGATGAAACATATTGTTGGGATGAAGAATACTTTATCCCAGTTGAATCCCGCGGAGGATATTGATGGGTTTGGAAATTATAATCTGGAGGTGCTTGGGGTTAATGGTTCTCAGCTGGCTAGTAAATCAGTTCTTAATCTGTTTTTTCTTGATAGTGGGGATTATTCTACTGTTCCTTCCATCCCTGGATATGGTTGGATTAAACCCTCGCAACAAGTTTGGTTTCAGAACACTTCTCATAATCTTAAGGTGGGAAATGTGTAGCATACTTTCATTTGGTTTCGAGATTATTTATTTCTGATTTTCAGCAAATTGTGACTTTTGTTTTAAATGCAGAGAACTTACATGAGCAGTCCTGCAGCTCAGAAGGTCCCAGCTCCAAGCCTTGTATACTTCCATATTCCCTTGCCCGAATATGCAAGCTTCGACTCCTCAAACTTCACAGGTGTTAGACAGGAAGGCATTAGTTCTGCATCAATAAATTCTGGTTTCTTCACAACAATGGTGGAAACAGGAGACGTGAAGGGCGTTTTCACTGGGCATGATCACAAGAATGATTTTTGTGGGGAGTTGATGGGCATAAATCTGTGTTATGCTGGAGGCTTCGGTTACCATGCTTATGGGAAAGCTGGATGGGCAAGGAGGGCAAGGATGGTGGTAGCAACTTTGGAGAAGACCGAGAAAGGAATATGGGGTGATGTCAAATCTATCAGGACCTGGAAGCGACTCGATGATGAACACCTTACTACAATTGACCGTGAAGTGCTTTGGAGCAAGAACTCTGGTGGTAAGTTTCTGAAATATATATATATATATATAGCAAACTACTCAGGCCTTGAAATTCAGTTTATCTAACGACCAATATATATAGCAACTGTTTTCTTCTAGCATAGCATCATAAATTTCTAAAAATATTCAGCATTTCTTGTGGCCTCACAGAAATTTGTAATCACTATACACTTTGCAGGCAGCCGCAGAAAGAAGAAGATTAGCCACCCGCGCAGAAATTTCTGATTCTATTTGATCTAAATTAAAGCAGACTATTCCCGGCTGTCATACATAGTATTGTGCAATTATATGAATGATACGGAGTAGAATGTTAACACAGCAATATATATAAAGGTGAAAACTGACGAATTGAAGCTAGATTGAATGAGTTGTGTTTGTAGTTTGTACCAAACTTGCATCTGTAGTAATAGATTTATGATTTTTGCATGTTTTGCTTCGTGTTGGTATCAGTCCTTGTTGAGAATTGAAACAAGTTGTAATGGCAGTTAATGAATAGTTTATATATGGTTGGCTAACGTAAGAGATACGACTATACGAGGTCGAAGTTCGTATGTTGTGCTGTCATTGCAACTGTATTAACAGAGACGGAGAGACCTAAGCATTACATTACAGCTTTCAAAGATTTATATTTCTTCCCCAAATACTAACAACTCATTTGATTTGCGGAAAATATTTGAGGGAAAATAAATTGAAATTTCAAATTATTATAAAAATTAATTTCATTATTTGATTTGTTCATGGAAAAGAAATTACTGAAAATATTGTTGTGATTGGAATGCCAAAGAATAATATGTGTATATTCACATATTACAACACTCTAATCACATTACTTGAGATGAGAATCAAAATGTCACCCCTCATCTTACCATTTTGAACATCAACATCATTCATAATGTGGACAGTATTTCCGACCACTCTCAAATGGTGGTCGAAATGTTATGACCTTTAATTTTTTATTTGTTTGCTTAAATTAATTGACGCACCGGAGTCCTCCAATAAATAAATTGACACCTAAAAAAAAATAAATAAATTGACACAATCACGCACTGACTAGACTCCAAATGTTTAATATAAAAGGACAACAGATGCAGAGCATTTCTCTTGGAGTTGACGACACTGCATTTCTCTTGACGACACGACGACACCAGCATCCCTAACCGGTCGCACCTCAAACTAATGCTACGGATCAGAGTCATCGTCATCCTCAACTGAGTCGCACCTCAAGCTAAAGCTATGGAGTCTCCATCCTCAACTGATTCGCACCTCAACCGAGTCATCAACGGAGTCATTTCAAGCTAAAATTACGGAGTATTCACATCCTCAACCAAAAGGTAATTGCATTATTTTATGCTATATATTAAGTCCACTAAATTTAGTCTCTCGGTTTAAGACGTAGAAATCTTATTTTAACTGCATTTTCCTTTATTTTTTGCCTGCTTTTTTGCTTTGACATTTATGAGTAAATATAATTGGATTTATAGGTTTAGATATTAAGAAATATATAATACTCCATCTGATTTCTGCTCCATTTTGTTGTTTTTCTATTTTTTTGTTAATGTCAATTATTTGTAGGTTTAGATGGACATGTCCGATTCCAAACAAAGTAACAAACCCCACCTAACGCGTAAAAATTGTTATCTTCAAATAACTTTACAAATTGCAAAAGCAGAAACAGGAAAAGGGCCATATTTGATGCAAAAGTTTTGGTGTTTCCAGACGTCATAAGACACAAGAAACATACTTTAAAGAGACATCAAATAATATAATATAATAAATCAATTTAAGAAAGATCAGAATACGTGCAAATATTCTGTTGTGACAGAAGAAAACAAGCCAAACAGTACAAAGACTATAGAGTATAATCCTTAGCTTGTGTCTTCATACGCATCTCCTTACTTTTATAGTATTGTGTAATGTTCATGTTATTAACTTTGTCTTCACCAATCGATCTAATTATTTGCAACTTCTCACACTCTGTCCAACTCCTTGACAACATGGATTGGCAACACACTAACTACCTTCTAATCCAGGATGGAGTCCGATCTAAATTCACTGGTAGTCTAAAATCAATATATTGAATCACTCGTTCGTTTGAGACTCATATATTGGTTTAGTCCTCTCCCACTAATAATCTCAGCTCACTACTATTTAATATTTCAACAACTTTAATAGTTTGACTTTCTCTATGAATACTATAGCGCGCATTTACAAGAAACTCCAACAACATTTAGCAAAGTACTAATTTTTGAAAAAAGGTGAAGTAACACAAACAATTACTTACTTTTGAACTCAACTTTGAAGCTTCAATTCATAGATATTGCAAGGAGAGAGGAAAAATTGTTTAAAAATTTAGTGTTTTTTTAATTCTCGGTTACCACTCTCACTCACTCACTTGCACTTGGGGTTCTCGTGAAAAACAAAAATGTAATAATTGTTATTATTATTAATATGTTTTGAGAGTTAATTTTAATTTATTTATATGTGGACTCTATTATATTTATTTTAGTGGATCAATTTTAAGATTTTTAAAGTATATTTATAGGTAATAAATAACAAAATTTGAGTGAGGTCACTCAAATGAATGTAGCTCCGTCTCTGCTTTTGACCATATCATCACTTAGGTCCTGTTTGGTAAAAAATTGGCCTATAGGCCAATTTTGACTTATTTGATCACTATTAATTGTTTGATTTAGTTAAAATATCAATATAAATGTTTGGTTAATTAGCTTTTTGCAACTACAAAAGGCTAAAATTCAAAAAGCTACTCCAAACAACTTTTTTAATTAACTTTTTGAGAAAAGAAATTATACCAAACAGCTATTAGCTAACAGCTAATTTACCAAACACTTTTCTACAATCAGCTAATGTTATCACCTATTTATACCCTCTAATTAACACAATCAGCTAACAACTAACAGCTATCAGCTAATAGCCATTTTACCAAACAGGACCTTAGTCACGCACCTTAGCAAATTGTTGTTTAGCTTACGCAGCTGATTACACACCTTAATCAATAATTTATTTAATTTACTTCGAACTCATATTTTTAACTCAATAGTCCTTTAAAATTAAGGTAATCTTTTATTTTTTATTTTTGAAAACAAATTAAGGTAATCTTAATCGTTCATTCATTAAACTTCTAATAATCAGCTCATTGTTTCATCTTTGATGATAGTAAGAAGTAGGTGTATGATGGTGATGGCTTAGTGACATATAGAGTTAAATTAATTGGGTCATTAATTAGATGCAAGGCAAGTCGCCTACTCGCCTACTCCCATAACCTAAACAGCTCAAACATAATTCTTCACCAACTAAATAACATTGTCATCACCTAACTAGCTTGTTTGTATAGATAATATACTAATTATGCATCATTAGTACTTAATTTACAAAAAAAAAAAAGAAAAGAGTGATTATAATCAAATTACTTTTAATTATATATTTCCTTTTTATCTTCTCATATTAATAAACATATATACACCAAAATGAGTATTAGTTTTTTTTTTTCCAAATTAAAATATCTGTATAGCACATGCATGTAGAGTACGTATTAGTTCATTTATTTGGCCAAGACTATCCCGTGAGGCCTAAATAATTGTGCGTGGAGCTGAGAGTAGTTTCTAGTTTGTAGTTTCTAGGTGAATATTAAATGGATGTTGTAGAAGTTGACATTTTAGCACTAAGGTAACACAAAAATTCATGTATTATCCCCAAGAATATATAAATGCTCCTTGCATGACTGCATGGCCGCCACGTCTTATACTAGGTTGATTAAGACACAGTGCAAATTATTAATGTGATAGATTGATGAAGTGATAATAAAACTAATTACTATTTATAATCGTGCTTAATTCGGTGATTGGGTTTCCCAACTAAATATGATAGCCTGATAGGGATGGATCTGTGAGCTTGATACCTTTGGTATTGAGACAATAACGATGTTTTATAATCCCAACAAATTTTATAATTTTCTATGCCTATTCTAAGTAATGCATATGTTATTCAAACTTGTTTTTGCGTAAAAATATTCTAAAAAAGAATATTTTTAAATGGGACAGACTAAAATCTAAATAGACTAATTTCATTTTGTGCGAGAATGATCAAGAGTGGTGGATCCATTTTCACTTTACACAATTGGACAATGAGTTGTCACTTATTCATCACTCCCTTCCTTGCCCACTTTGGATTTTGTGTACCTTTCTTCTTCATTATCTCTTTACTTTTTGTCATTTCTTTTATCTCTATTATTTTCTTTAAAAAAATGAAAATGCTACTATAAATAAAATATTTTTATATTTGATTTTATGGTGTCTTGTGAAATCTTAAAATTATGGGAAGGAAATCTTGAAGAATTATGGAAACAAAAAATTCGAAAAGTTTTTCTATTTTTAATTTGAAAGAGATTTTGGAGGTGTTTGGTAAATAACTGTTAGTTAATAGTGGTTAGATGATTGTGTTAGTGGATTTAACTAATTTATAACATTAGCTGATTGTATAAAAGTGTTTGGTAAATTAACTATTAACTGATAGCTGAATACATGCCAAATGACTTTCTCAAAAAATTGATCGAAAAAGCTACTTTGAACATTTTTTTAATTTTAATATTTTGGAGTAATAAGTTGTTACAAAAAGCTAATTAATTAATTCAACATTTATAATAATTGTTTAACCAAGTCAAATAGCTAATAGTAGTTAAATAAGTCAAAATTGACTGATAAACTAACTATTTTACCAAACAAGACCTTTAATTGAGATTAAAAAAAAAAAAAAAAAAAACCTACAAGGAGTTGATTTTGGGTATTGCAATCAAGGAAGGGAACTCTTGCATTGCATGGTTGCTTGGAAAAATAATGGTGTTTTACTACAATTCTACCATACATATTAAGATGTGAAAAGATTTGAATCATGCTCCTACAAATTAAAAGGAATGTATAACTATAAATAATACACTATGATTCACGTCTTGATAAATATATATAAAAAATAAAGAAGAAGTGTTGATTGTGTTGTATCTTGAGGCCGATGTGCTTGATTAACCAATTCATTATTATACATGATAAGAAATTGTACTATCATCCAATATGAAGTTACTATATTATAACAAATAAATACGAATTATCAATATATTAATCTTTTAAGAAATTAAAATAGTAATACTTTTTACATACTTTTTTTTCAAAACTTTTTTTTTTTTTTTTTACATATTCTATTTATATTTGTGGGTGGTATGGGAAAAAGTTGGTTCAATTAATAACCTTGGGACAATATTGGGGGCAACTGTGAGTCCTCTATGGCCAAGGCATCTCTTATCTTTAGAATGAGGTAATCTCTCATTCTTCTCATTTTTTACACATTCAAACAATCTAATTTTTGCTCCCATACAATTAAATTGATTAATAGTTCAAAATAAAATTACAAACTTTGCTTTACTATTTAAAGAATTCAAATACTTTAAAGATTTAGACCAACCTCAATAGTCTTTAGTTTTTTTTGTGATTTTTGAGGTGCCAATTACGGAAG